TAGATCGTCAACCAGACTACATAAGGAGAAGGTTAGACATGTTATGGGAAAAAACAACTGGTTGTTTATGTTTCAATGTTGAAAGCTAGAATAGTATCCCCACTCGCCGTGCTTTGCCGTCTTACGTAGCTTCATTGTTTGATCCTCTGAGGATGATTGTACCAGTACTATTGCCAGCAGTGTCTGATTCAGGATCTCTGTCGAAGGAAGGCCGCCCGGGACGATGGTATGCCCGAGAATGAAACGTTGAAATGGAAGAGCTGGTTGCTGAATTTACAAAGTGTAGAAAGCATTCGCACACCACAGTGTATGGGACCCAAATCATTTGCTTCAGATTGTAAGACTGAGTTGCACGCATTTTCCGATGCCTCAGAGACTGGCTGTGGTTCTGCGATCTACACCCGACCGATCGATCCGCCGAGAATACCCCACTCCACATTATTGATAAGAAAATCCAGAGTTGCCCCCATCAAGTACACAAGCATACCGCGATTAGAGCTCACTGCTGCTGTATTGTCTACCAAGTTAACTGCTTGTGTGAGAGAAGAACTGTCTATTAATGTAGATTCCTCTTTTCTGTGGACAGATTCTCTGATTGTGTTACAAATGATACGTAACCGAACTACACGTTATGACACCTTCGTGGCCAACCGACTAGCGTCCATTCTTGATTGTTCGGAACCTGAAGATTGGATGTACGTCGAAAGCAAATGAAACCCTGCAGACATAGCTTCCCGTGGCCTACTATCAGACACATCCAAATTGTCCTTGTGGTTATCTGACCCTGAATTTTTGAGAAAAGTTTGCAACCAGTAGCCCTCTCAGCCGGTTAGCTATCCTATTCCTGTTGCGCATGTAAAGTCAAAGGAAACTGAAGTGGTACATACGACCGCCACTTATGTATAATGGATTGATCGCTTCGAGCACGTGTCCAGTTGGAGTCTGCTAGAGAGGCTAGTGGCGTGGCTGCGCCGTTTCTGCCTATGAATGAGACGCAGAAGACCTGTGCTGCCCGGAGACGAGTTATGTGGTAGATTGACCAGAAAGGATTTGGTGGAGGCGGAATGTCTCATCCTTAGGGCGGTTCAAACGGCTTGTTTCACAAAAAACTAAAATTACTGAAATCCACCGTATCTTCCAACGCTTGGAGGCCCCACGATTACCGGGTCAACTACGATGACTCCTTAGATGGGCTCAAGTGCCTTTCGATGAGACATCCAGTAATTCTCGCAACTCATCGTTTCGTAACCAGGCTCCTCGTCCAGCATACCCATATACTGAACGGGCATGTTGGAACTTTGCATATCCTTAATGTGCTACGAGAAAAATATAGGGTTATCAAAGGTCAAGCAGTCGTTCGGCGAGGATATCCAATTCGTATTTACAGTGATAATGGCACTAATTTCTGCGGTGCTGAAGCTGAGCTCAGACAGAGCCTACAACGGATGAACCAGGAGAGAGTGTCCAAAGCTCTTCTACAACGGGGATGTGATTGGATTTTTACTCCACCAAAGGCTAGCCACACAGGAGGCATCTGGGAAAGAATGATACGATCTATTCGATGGTTACTGAGATCGTTACTTGGTGATCAACTGGTGACCGATAAAGTTCTTATGACTGTGCTAAACGAAGCAGAAAAAATCATTAATGATCGACCTCTGACGAAGTTATCAGATGACCCTCTCGACCTTGGGCACTTACTCCTAATCACCTCCTGTTACTCCAGGGTAACCCTTCAGTCGAAAGCTCACCTGGATCGAACATTAAGTTAACTCGAAGATGGCGCCAGGCACAACAGTTAACCGATACTTTCTGGGTTCGGTGGATAAAGGTTTACTTACCTACGCTGCATCAAAGACACAAGTGGGTGGGATCTAGTCGTGATCTTAAGGTGGGGGACTTGATTCTCTTAGTCGATACCCCCGTGTCTAGGGGTTCCTGGCCAAAGAGAGTTGCGCAAACGGTTACGCCAGGAAAGGATGGACGAGTTCGTGACGTCGTGGTTCGAACGGTGACGGGACTCTTGAAGAGAGATGTTCGACATCTGTGTCTTCTCGAGCAAACGGTTGACCCAGCGGGAGTGTTAATTACATGACGTAATTATTTGTTTCCCTATTCCTCAGGCTAGTTCATCACCCCTCTGTGACTGCTCAAGGTTCAAGACTGAACCGTTCTATTTTATACAAATCTGACTCTACCTCAAACATTTACATTTATTCCTGGACTTGTTGTTGAAATTTTGTCCCACTTTGAATTGAGCAACAATTTTCCCGCTTAATTTGTCCGATTGCATTGTAACGTAAAGGCGGCAGTGAGATCACGCGACTTACGGCATCATCCCTATTCTGATTGGTTGATAAGTTAATGGCGGGAACATTCAAAAGTGGCAACATCACGGATTTGCGGTTTATGATTGACCCTCTCAAACGAAGCACGGAATTAAGATGCGGTTGTGTCTTTAAAAAATTCGCACATCTAACAGATTTTTTAATTCAATAAACGCAAAATTTATGGGATTCCTGGTAGCTTTAAATAGCTTGGTTGTAAAGAGCGTAATCCGCTATTTTGTTCCTAAAGTTAACTATAGCTCCAAAGGAAGATGATATTTGGGATTACTGGCGGTAACAAAAAGTAATTAGCGAGAACAGCCCAGATTGAGCAGCTGACGATGATGTATTGGCTGTTTGCAATCTGCATCGTTCACATATTTTGAAAGTTATTCGTTTGAATTAAAGGAATAGCCTGCGTGTAATAGTATATGTTCCTCTCAATGAATCCATTGAAGGCCATGTATCCTTGGAATTGTTTTCGGTAGCTAATGCGCCCGATATATTCAATGCATTAACTGCCCTAGGTGAGAGACCCGGTGTGTTCATGGACAGCCCTTAGGTATATAATGACAGAACCATCGGTGCGTCGCTTGGAGCCAACGGATCATCGATAGCGTCTGTGGTTGAGCTAGGGCTGCAGCTCTGGCACCACCGGTGGCAAGCGTAACATGCCACCCCTGTTTGCCCACTTTGGACAATCCATTTGATGAGGTACTCGGCTCAGGAAAAATGGGCCGTACCGTCGTTGAAACCGTGCTGGCGGCGTCCCACATGGCGTGGGCACCCGGACCGCAAACGGAGCAAGCGAGGAATGACTATTTGTAGCTCGACACCATTTTATATGCCATCCTAACTTTGGCCTTCACACACCAGTTGCCCGGTCCAGACCGCAGGTCGCCGACTCCGGGCGGCAGTAGGGGCAGTCCATCCGGCTTCCCGGCCGGTTATCCCGGTTACCAGGTGGTAGCTGACGAGGACCGGGATCGGCGGTTATCTTCAAGGCATGAAGTTGTGGTTCCAACTCTGACGTTGCCTCATAACCGCGGGCAAGTTGGATTGCGTCACGTGTATTATCCGCAGTTATGAGGCAACGTCAGAGTTGGAACCACAACTTCATGCCTTGAATTTAACCGCCGATCCCGGTCCTTGTCAGCTACCACCTGGTAACCGGAATAACCGGCCGGGAAGCCGGATGAACTGCTCCTACTGCCGCTGGTACGTTACACCACGCTGCCCTTCGTGTGCTATCCTGTGTTGCTAACTGCCCAAGGTTCAATCTAGCCGTAAGCCTTTCTTTAATTCTCCTCACGATTTACTGTTAGTTTCCTATAGAACCAAGGTCTGCCTATCCGTACTGTCTGCCCAAGTCCAATTCAATATATTGTTCACTGCCCAATTGCGACTACTGAACAAACGCAGGTGAAGTTCGTAGAATTCGGTTTCGCCGCAATTATTACTGATCGTCCGTTGGTGAATTAGACTACACGTTACCTGTCAGATAGGACACCTAGATCGTGCGTTTAGGCTAAGTGACCTATTCCTTGCTTTGAGATCACGGCCTTAGCACAGGATCGCACAGTTACGAACTGCCCAATCGACAATTTAACCCACCGTTGAAGTTAAAAAAAAATACCAAGACCTTCGGACCTGTGTACGTATAACTTTGTCTGAAGACAGCCCCTGCTAAGCTGAAGTGCCAGTTTTTGCTCAAGGTTTCTCATACTTTCATAAGACGTTGAAGAACTAGTGAACTTGAAAGCACTATTACAACGGGGCTCAAACTGACCCCCGTGAGTACCCTTCATGAAGGTGGGCACCATTATCGACTGAACCCAGTTGCCTTGTATTGACCCTTGCTCTCAGATAGACGGAGCTAGGCTAGAGGGGCACTTGCTGAGCAACTCATCGCCATCATTGGACGGAATAGATAACAGTTCCTTCTCTACAAAGGATACGATGACAGACACACTTGGGCACGTCTGAAGCTGAAAGGGAGCTCCAAATTTGCCGTTCACATTTCTTTCGAAGACCGGTAACTTGGATTGGAAGTAACGGGTGGGTATTTGAATGGTGGTTCGAATTATTCTACCCATCGATTCACGTGTTCTTTGTCGAACATCAGAGGGCAGGTGTGGTTTTGATGGTTTCTCCGGCAAGAAGCCGCCGAGGACCGGTCGAGCGAATCGAGTAAAACCTGAATACATTTACAGCACTTTTAGCTCCTTTTATGCCTTCATTCTTTCGTCACAAAGCCCTTCGGACTATATGGAAACTCGATTTCCCGTGGCATCGGACGATCCTCCATTCCGGTTGTGACCAGAATGAGTGCGTTACCGGGTCTCCAGCGAAGTCAGTCGTATCAGAGGTCCAGTGCTTGGAATAGGCCTACTGGATTGTACCAGAAATGTTTCGGCATCACGTACAACTCTGGATATCTCTTTCCAGTTGTGGCTATTATTCCATGTGGGATCAGCACGCAAGCCTGATAAATCTGTTTGGTCTCAAATTCGGTGAACTCAACTTCCAATGGGTGTGTGCATGCTTTCCGCAGACCTGAAAAACTCACTTGACTACGGCAACACAAGTACATGATCAGTTCGACTAACATTAACTATCTTGGAAGCCAATTTCACGTTCATTCAACAGGCATGTTGTGGCAGCTCATGAAATATGATTTTACCGAGTAAATGTACCACATCCAGCACACCTGCATGTCTTCATATTGATTCCGTCACGAAGAGACTGGACCTTACCGTGGTGTGGCGACTTGTGTGTCTCGACGAACTATTGAAATATATTGGGGGTGTACGCGCGATACTCAGACTCTCATACCAGGTTTGTCCATGAGGCGAGATGGCCCAAGTGGTTAGAGCGCGAATTTACTGACCGGAAGGTCCGTGGTTCGAATCCGGCCTTCGCCACTCGACTTCCCCTGTCTAGGCTTAGGCAACCTGGCAGTATCCCAGCCCTCGTGCTCCCTTCGGGTGGCATGGCAGCAAGGCACCGAAAGGGTGCTACAGCTGAACGCTTTCTTTTTTTTGTCCATGGGTAGAGGTCTGACGAAAACAATCTCCTGGCCTTCCAGGAGGGATTGAAAGATGTATGGCGACGTGTTCCGTAAAAATGGTAATGTACTTGCATTTCCAGCCTAACACCGCTGCTTTCCGGTTAGGGTTTTGAGCCAAAGGCTTTGGTTGAGGACACTAATTGTCCTCCTATCTAGGTGTGGGCGCCCTGACAGCATCCCAGCCCTCGTACAACCATGACGTTCACAACTAACAGTACTCTCATGCCATATCGGCCGTCTAGGACTGACTGCTTTTCTCGCTCTGCATAACACAGCTGCGGCTTCTGTACCTCCGAGTTCAGTCACAACCCCAAGCACTTTTCAAACCCCGAAAGTCTGTCCGCTTAGCCGCCTTCAGTGTTCGCACACTGAAGCAAGCAGGTCAACAGGTGGGTGTTGTTCGTACGCTTGATTCCCTTTGCATTGATGTATGTTGTCTGTCAGAAACAAGGACGGAGGACGCAAGTACTGTAATCGACCTGGCTGCCCCCTTGCTCCCTTCCAGATTCCGGCTGTGCACCTCTGGTGATGCAGAAGCCGCTGCAGCTGGATATACTAAGGTGGGTATTGTACTGAGCGAACGAGCGGAAGCTTCTCTGCTTGATTGGATACCCGTTGATAGTCGCCTCTGTGTTGTTCGGCAACATCCGTGAGAGAATCTGGAGGAAGTAAGGTTCACCGCACCTTGCTCATTGTGTCTGCTTACGCCCCAACTGATTGTAGCTCTGAATCTGGAAAAAAAAATACTCAAAACGCTACTTCAAGCCGGAACGTCTGTTTTCGGTACAACCCAACCAACCTTATCCAAGCATCGTCATAATCATCATCATCATCATATTGTCAGCTGTCATCATCATCATCATCAACATCATCATCATCATCATCATCATCATCATCAGCCTAA